AGGGTGCGTCTTATATTCCGAAAAATACGATAATGTGCATACATTTAAGTATACATTTTCCATATAAAAATAATTATGTTTTACAGAAATTTAAAAATTGTGAGTTTTATTTGTCATTTATTAAGGTATTTGCTTCAAATGATTCAATAATTTTTGAAAACTTTATGTACATTGTATATGATATTACTAGATCATTTCTTTTAAAATGTAATTAATTTGAAATTCTAATGACCACTAGATAACAAACTTATCTTACTTGACCAAAGTTGTGTTTCTTAGTGATCTAGCATGATTACATATCGTGGTCACCCAACCAGTAGACAGGGAAAACTAAATAGCTTGCTGCAAACCTGTATTGTCTCTCGGAAAACGTATAAAAGTGTGATTACCTTCAAAAATCAATTAAATTATTTCTTAAATACTTTTTTAAAGAAAGCATTTGTTTTTACTTTATTTGTATAAATCCATTAGTTTTTCTTTTTATGAGGATTAGTCTAAAATATTGTAATTATCAACATATAAATACTGTATATTGAACCAATGTCTCACGTCACGTTTTGAGAATTTCTTACATTTCAGAATATTTTAAGAAGCGACTTAAGGCAAATAAATGTTCTGACTTTTCTAAATCACAAAGAAGGCAATATGTATAAGAAATAATTTAGCTCTTGCAAGATTATTTTGTCCATGTTCTTGTTTTCACTGTTTTTTATTCTTTTATCTTTCTTGGATTGAAATACATTTTTAAAACTGTTCTTTCCATAATTAGTAATGTACTTTACTCAACTTGTTGGAATTGATTCTCACTTGCAGTGCCATCTTTACACATTGTGTTACATAGAAATGTGCAGCCACACACACACACAAACAAACAAACACAATTCTGAAACACTCTGACCATAAAATCATGTGTTAATAATGTAATTTGGGTTTTTATGTGTAATGTGTTCCTTGAAGGTCATCACTTAATATTTATTATTTTGGCTTCTTTTTTTGGCACTAAGGAATTCAGTGTTACCATCTCAGTTGTTTCTTAACAAATGATTTCAGTGATCTTCACATCTTATGACTAACTAGTAATGATTTTGATATCTGGTTCCATAGAATATTCCTGAATATTTGTAACAACTATATATATGTGTAAATATTTTAATCAATAAATATCAAAACTCAGCTTTATTTGTATAAAACATAAGATCATACCTCACAGTCCAAAACAATTAAGTAACGTCCATCAGCGGATGACTGAACTTTCTTTCCTCCTTGACCTGTATAAGTTTTAAAACTTTTAGTGCTAATAAATTAATTTAAATCACATTCATAATACAAAAAGATATCTTACAGAAAACATTATAATCTATTTTGGAAGTGTTACTCTTGTATTAATGATCCCAACTATTAATGGTAGTTTACTTCTGAAGTGGTATTCTAGTCCTAGTGTTACCAACTATTAATGGTAGTTTATTCTACTAAAGTGGTATTCTAGTCCCAGTGTTACCAACTATTAGTAGTAGTTTATTCTACTAAAGTGGTATTCTAGTCCCAGAGTTACTAACTATTAATGGTAGTTTATTCTACTAAAGTGGTATTCTAGTCCCAGTGTTACTAACTATTAATGGCAGTTTATTCTACTAAAGTGGTATTCTAGTCCCAGTGTTACCAACTATTAGTGGTAGTTTACTTCTGAAGTGGTATTCTCATACCAGTGATCCCAACTATTAGTGATATTTTACTTCTTGGGTGGTATTTTCATACCAGTGATCCCAACTATTAGTGGTATTTTACTTCTTGGGTGATATTCTTGTGTCAGTGGTCCCAACTTCTGAAAGTTCATATAAATTACACAAACAATAAAAAATTATTACAAAACTTGTATATTTCTTGAAAGGTTTATGTTTCTAAAGACCAGATAACAAATTATCATAACAAACATACTAAACTAATGATATAATAGTTCTAACATCCATTATTTTTACAAAAAACATTATTTCCAGTCAACAATGCAGCATGTAATGATCACAGTTACTGAACCAGCCAGCATAGACAGCCATATTAATCACAACCTAAATTTGAAAGGTTCTTTTTCACTATCAGTTACAGAATTTTTTAGAATCTTTTATTCTAAAATCCAGAAAGCTAGAAAGAAAATTAGATTTTTCAATCTTAACCAATAGTTTAAGTCTCCTTCAAGTGTCATCTCGAGCTACAAATTTGTTGCTTTACCATTGGCAGGTTTTTATAGGAAAGAAAGCAAAACATTACAAGTTCATATTACACAAGTTTTATCTTCTTTATCATCCACAAATTGTAACTCATTTGCTATTTTAGTTCTGATGATAATTGCTCAGATTTTCCTGGTTGTTTACAAATTCTTTGAATTTATTTACATTTTTTATGGCTTTTTGTTCATTCACATATTTTTTTTTTTTTAATGCTATTTCTGGGGCAAGAGAAAATGTGAAGTAACAAGAAACATATTTCAACATAACACTGGTAACACATACTTAACACTGGTCTATTGCATGTAACTCTCTTTCCAATAGTACTACACAGGTTGTTTTGATGGATATAATTTGTCTTCATTCAATAAAAGATTAAAAACATATTTCAATGAATTTGGGGTTGAGGGTGGGGAGCAAAATTTATGCTTATCATAAAATCCAAGTCAAGTTTGCTTGATAAACTGACATACAATAATTTCTAACTTTGCATATGTTCTCAGAATTAACTAAAAATGAATTTCCAAATCACTTTTTAAATAAAATTTAGATGATAGTTGTTCACCAAAGTGTCAATAAAAGTTAACAATAAAAAGTGTAAAAAAAAAGGTACTTTAGCTATACCAGGTGGTGTGTTAAATTAAAAAGATAATTTTGTTTGTTTCTTGAAATTTGAGCAAAGCCAATTTGGGGATATCTGCACTAGCCATCTCTAACTTTAAAGTGATAGATGAAAGGGAAGGCAGCTAATCAAACCACCCATCAACTCTTGGGCTACTCCAATCAAGTAGTGGGATTTAACAGTCACTCTTATAATGCACTCATGGCCCCGACTTGTGGAGCAGGATTTTATTTTGGAAGTAAAGATGGATGAACCATGGAACTCCCAGTCCAGTATACTAACCACTGGTCTAAAAGACAATATACAAACAAATCGTAGTGTGGATATTATCCGAAACTGGTGCACCAAAAATCAATAAAAAGAGAAACAAAACAACCACAGTAGGCTTAAAGTCAACAGCTTAGATGACCAGTTGTATAATGTTTAGTATAATACTTGTTTATTTTTTTAAGAGAAACATTTCATACATATGTTTTTGATTACTCTCAGAGCTCAAAAACTTATCTTAATTGAAAACCTATCAAAAGTGGTAGTTTGTTTTGGATATTCATATTAAAGCTAGACAAGGTCTAGCTGGCTAGCTGCCCCTAATTTTGGACTGATACAATAAAGGGGAGGTAGCTTGTTAACACCACCAATGAACAAATCTAGGGCTACTCTAATTAAAGAATAGTGGGATTTGACTGTCACTCTTACAATACATCCCTGTCACAAAAGTGTGGGACATGATTCTGTGATAAACCATAGATGCTTGACTTCACAATACATCCTGTTAATCATTTAGAGTTAATTAACACAAAATCTCAACGAATAGTTAAAAGTTTAGTTTCTTATGTTAAACAAACAAAATGTACAACTATATATAAATGTTTACTTTTTGCATATAACCTAAACACACCAAGTAAGCTACCATTACCAACAATGTACAGACAAGAGGTCATCAGCACAGTTTTAAAAAAATCATTTGATATGCAAGTAGAAAAGTTACAATTTTCCTATATTGAAAATGTATTTCTGAGAGATACTTACCTCCACTCACATAAGTAGTTATATTCGTTCAGTGCTGCCCTCTATATGCAAAATTTTTTTATGCATGCCACAAGCCTTCTGCCTCCCTTCCATTGGAAATGACTTATTCCAATGTGTCTCTCATGCAAATCATCATGCAACAACCCTCCACCAATGAGAGTGCCATACACTCTCATTACTTGCATTACTCTCATTAAATGAGTTAGCACACAGGACCACACACAAAATGTGCATTGAATAAAAAAAAAAAAAAAGACCCAAAACTCATGGCTTACTAACTGTTCTAAAGCATTTGAGTTTTGGGCCTTTTTTTATATTCAAAACTTAAAGTAATATTAAAGCTGAAAACAACATTTACTTGATAAGTGAATGAAATAAAAGCAGTCATTAGAAATAAATAAAACAAAAAATTTAAGTTTTTCAGTAGCTCTTATCTAAAACTGACCTTTAATTAATTATGGCATTTTTTTGCATTAAGAAACAAGTCATCTGGAAGAAATATTAAACAAATCATCACCCATTTTTATACATACCTAGGAAACAAGAGCTTGGCAAAAATATTTCAGGCTTTACATTAAGATGCTTGTTTAGCCACATTCCAAATTGGCCGTAACCCTGGAGTAAATTATCATAATCAAGAGACAAGAGGTCATCAGTACAGTTTTAAGAAATCATTAGACATGCAACAAAGAAAAGCTGGTTTATTACAATACAATACAGCTTATTGATAACCATTATGACAACTTGCTGGTAAGTGATTCTGGTCAGTAACCAGGTAGATGTTTCAATAGCAAAACTACCCAGAAAACAGTTTATTCTGGTTTTGTTGAACTATGCTCTTCACTGATCCAATGTTACTTGTAAAAGTTTACAAAGCTTTAAGTAAAATTTTTAAAACGTAAACAATTGATAAATAATTAGGACAACACATTTATATTTAACTTTGTTAATAAATTGTTAAAAACATATGACTTATTATATCATTCTACTACACATTTATTTCCACCCAATAATCGTTTGATATAAATATTTTCCTTGATCTAAAGAAAACCAAAACTAAAACCAAATGTAATTTTGAATTTCAAGTGGCTGCCCATTGAAACTTCTGCATGTTTAATTTGTTCTTTACCTGTTATATTTAACTATAATCATACAAGAACTGCTTTGGATTTTTTTTCATGTACAATCTACTTTTGAAGGTGAATGATCAATAAAAATGGTGGATCTACAGAGGTTTGAGTACATTATATTAAAACAATTTTAAATATGTAAATCAGTGGCTCATTTGAAAACCATAGCAGTTAGTCACAGAAGAACTGGCACGTATCACAACTACATCTTGACATTGTTTATCATTTTGTGGGAAGCATGATGCCACCAAAAATTGATTGCTTTTGTGAAGGGTATGTTATAGCCCTCTTTGATTCAAAATATTCATACATTCAGGTCAAGATGTAGTCAGATCACAGGTACCCCTTGAACTTAATATTACTGAAAAATAAAAGAATATGGATCAATTTGGGGCACCAGAACCATGTTATAAGAAACCTGCAACAAGTCATATCTATGCTGTGGTAAGCAAAGTGCAGTATTTTGTAAGAAGTGAGAATCCATAAACATAATGATTAGTGCTAAAAGCCATCAACATGTATATCGGGTAACAGTACGCAACATAATCAAGCTGTTTTTGAATTTTAAATTTTGTGAAGTGTGGGATACCTCCAACATATATAATCCAGAAGCTGGAGAATCAAAGATATAATCATGCTATTCCATATTAAAACATACTTCTCAACAATATATATTTCAAGCAGTCCAGCAAACCTAAAATTAGTTAAGGCAACAAAATTATATAAGTTATATAAAATCTACTTGTTGAAAGTGTGTAGGAAGTATATTTTATTCTACAAACATAACAGGATTTAACATTAACAAAATACTCAGGATTTTGTAAATATTGAACTTGTATTTTATACGTTTTACATCAAGTTATAGAACTTACCACCCCTACTGCATCAGCTACTTTGTTACAACTGATAACACTACAACAATCAGAGGGACTGAAGTGCTCAGGAAAGTTGTATAGTTCTTTCTGAAATGCAGCTTGGGCCTAAAAGAAAAAAAATATTCAAAAACAGATATCATGAACAGTTTTTCATAAAAAATAATTTCTTTCAAAGAATTTTATCATAGAATGGTGATTTAACTATAGTTTTTATTGATTATATTAATCTTTTATTCAAAAGTAATCCTCCTTCCTCCCCATGGCCTATGTCTTGCATACATCTGTGGTTATCTTGGTTAAGTCTGAACTTTTACTAATAGTGTGGCTTAACACCATAGCCAAAAGTACTGCTAACAGTTAGGATACTAAAATGATGAAACAATGCATTTAATTAAATGGATTTACAACAAATGAACATAAACTTGCGCAAAATCTAGATCTGAAGGAAGCCCTGCATGCTTTTGCAGCAAAAAAGGTCAGATAAGTCACATTTTAATAATAAGTAAGATAATATGTTTTTCTAACAAACATAATTTATCATCAATGGTTTGGGTGCATTTGGGAAATCATTAGCTATATTACGCTCTTCATAAACACC